ATATTGTTACAATGTTAGCATGTTACTATGTCCACGATGGTTCATGCATTGTTTTTTTGTAAAGAAATTGCAAATGGACATTATTATCCTGATGCGCATGCAATTGTATATCATGTGTTTGAAGTGGTTGTTAACGATTGTTACTGTTGTAATATATTTTACTTTGTGTATGACGCCGATTTATGTCCTGTTTTCAATAAAACGAATTTCAACATTACATCGATTCTGTTATTACCCTGACGTATATGTGACAAGTCATTATTTTGAGAACTAGCTGCTGGCAGAGTTCAAGAGAGAACACATACCCACAGATGTTGCTACCCAAGTAACATTACTTTCTATCCAAAACAGACGTATATATATTTTTAAGATATGTGATTTTTTTCACACACAAAGAGTTATCATTTAGAAAAGCGTTTGAATGCATATATGTACACATCTGATCTTCAGAGTAACTCGGATACAGTTTGTTTATGTTATTGTATGTGAAGCCACTTACATCAATGCAGCTCCAAGTTACTTGGTAAGGGGGCATTGCATTCAATTAACATCAAAGGGATTTCAATAAAGCTTATTTTGTATTTCAACGTCGTCATTAAATCTGACCTCCAGATCAGTGTATACAGTCACGCCTACAAACGCGTGTTGCTTTAAGCTGTAATTGAATCAACGTTGACTTGGTCTCTGTCACTCAACCAGTCACCTCACTGTGAAATGAGCTCACACTAATCCAATCAAGAGAACATCTCTGGCTTCATTAGGAAACAGCTTATAAGCAAGCGCGCTCGGGAGACTGACCATTATATCCAGCGTCTACCAGTTGCATTGCATTTTCTTCCTAGTCCTCCAATACAAGAAGAATGTATTCCCCTAGTTTCTCTTTGAGTGTTACTTCCGAGGCTGACATCAGCTTCACCGACCTGAAGACCTTACTCTTTGACAGCCCATGTGCCTGGAGAAACAGCGACTCCGAATCAAGTGACAGTGGTTTTGGGTCACCCGACTCGTTATCAGAGGTGGGTATTCTTGGTCTTTAATATTTGAATGTAATACCTAGTACATATTTGAATGTAATACTCTAGTGAGTAACTGACACGATCAGGAGTTCATTTCGATACAGCATTCGTTTTATTCTTGATTGGTAAATTATGAGTTTGATGAATTTATTATTCTATTTCAGATTTCCACGGATGGTAGCCCCGTTTCTCTGTGTGGATCCCTTGCCAGACGTTCACTATTCTCTTCCAAAAGGCAGCGCGAGGATGTGGATGACCATGAAGATTCACCCCTCAAGCGTTCACGACAGGGGCTGATATCCTGGGATGGGGATTCTGATGATGAAGAAGAGAGAACTCGATCCGCCGTAGAAAGGTTACAAGCTGTTGAGAAAAACCTGGTTGGTGATGGCTCAAAAGTACATTCCCTTCCTACTGTGGAGACGAGAAACCACAGAGATTTGAAGACTGTTACTCCTTTAACGGTATGTATGACAATATTGCATTTATCTGGAAACAACAATCAGAATATACAAAAATATGGAACTTTCTTGTATGCACAGTTTAATAACTTCATGATAAATTAGGGTGAAAAACATTTTATGCATGTTTCTTATGGTTTGTCTTCTTGTATATTTTCAGGTTCAACAGCTTATGAAAGGCCACTTTCCAGAGATTAGCGAGTATCAGATCGTTGACTGCAGGTACCCCTACGAATTCGAGGGAGGACACATCCAAGGTGCAACCAACATATACACAGAGGAAGGCATTTCCGAGCTTGTTCAACGTCCTGCTAGCCAACCGACAGTTCTCATTTTCCACTGTGAATTCTCATCTGAAAGAGGTCCCAAAATGTAGGTTGTTTAGCAATTTCATATTGCTTATGTCTATGAGACATCGTACTTTTGCTAACTTAATGTATTATCTTAAACACTATAATTTGTAAGAAGTTGTGTATCATTATTTTAATATTTGTGTATGTATTCTTGGATGTATGATGTTGTCCCTTTGCGTTATAAATTGTATTTTATATCTTTATTATCTTTATACAGGATGCGCCATTTGAGAAGCGAAGACAGGAAAGCCAACAGTCACCGTTACCCAGAGTTGCATTATCCCGAGGTCTACCTCCTACATTCAGGATACAAGACCTTCTTTGGTGAGCACAAGGTAGGTTGGCTGCATATCAGTTTATTCCACATTCATATGGACAACCTTAACAGCCCACTCTGGCATATACTTTGTATCTTGTACGGAGACTGCAAGTGACTGGATTCGCTAAAGGTAGATTTTAATGTCTCTTGTTTGTTTCTTTGCAGGATATGTGTGAACCCCAGACCTACGTTCCCATGCTGCACGCTGACCACGTTGACGATTTGAAGAAGTTTCGGGCACGATCCAAGTCAGGGACCGCAGGCCAGAAAAAGATGGGAAGAAGTAGGCAAAGGATGAGTGCTCGGAGCATGTCTTCTCCCTCTTTCGGTCAGCCGTGTCTACCAGAGTCTCATCTTATGGCCTGTTTGCAGTTTTAAACCTAGTTGGTGTGCTATTTGGCCTTTGTTATATTCTTCCACGATTGAGGCAATTAATATGTTTTGTTGTTGATTGTTACTGTTGTAATATTGTTAGCATGTTACTATGTCCACGATGGTTCATGCATTGTTTTTTTGTAAAGAAATTGCAAATGGACATTATTATCCTGATGCGCATGCAATCGTATATCATGTGTTTGAAGTGGTTGTTAACGATTGTTACTGTTGTAATATATTTTACAATAATGTTACTTTGTGTATGACGCCGATTTATGTCCTGTTTTCAATAAAACGAATTTCAACATTACATCGATTCTGTTATTACCCTGACGTATATGTGACAAGTCATTATTTTGAGAACTAGCTGCTGGCAGAGTTCAAGACAGAACACATACCCACAGATGTTTGCTACCCAAGTAACATTACTTTCTATCCAAAACAGACGTATATATATTTTTAAGATATATGATTTTTTTCACACACAAAGAGTTATCATTTAGACAAGCGTTTGAATGCATATATGCACACATCAGATCTTCAGAGTAACTCGGATACAGTTTGTTTATGTTATTGTATGTGAAGCCACTTACATCAATGCAGCTCCAAGTTACTTGGTATGGGGGCATTGCATTCAATTAACATCAAAGGGATTACAATAAAGCTTATTTTGTATTTCAACGTCGTCATTAAATCTGACCTCCAGATCAGTGTATACAGTCACGCCTACAAACGCGTGTTGCTTTAAGCTGTAATTGAATCAACGTTGACTTGGTCTCTGTCACTCAACCAGTCACCTCACTGTGAAATGAGCTCACACTAATCCAATCAAGAGAACATCCTTGGCTTCATTAGGAAACAGCTTATAAGCAAGCGCCCTCGGGAGACTGACCATTATATCCAGCGTCTACCAGTTGCATTGCATTTTCTTCCTAGTCCTCCAATACAAGAAGAATGTCTTCCCCTAGTTTCTCTTTGAGTGTTACTTCCGAGGCTGACATCAGCTTCACCGACCTGAAGACCTTACTCTTTGACAGCCCATGTGCCTGGAGAAACAGCGACTCCGAATCAAGTGACAGTGGTTTTGGGTCACCCGACTCGTTATCAGAGGTGGGTATTCTTGGTCTTTAATATTTGAATGTAATACCTAGTAAATATTTGAATGTAATACTCTAGTGAGTAACTGACACGATCAGGAGTTCATTTCGATACAACATTCGTTTTATTCTTGATTGGTAAATTGTGAGTTTGATGAATTTATTATTCTATTTCAGATTTCCACGGATGGTAGCCCCGTTTCTCTGTGTGGATCCCTTGCCAGACGTTCACTATTCTCTTCCAAAAGGCAGCGCGAGGATGTGGATGACCATGAAGATTCACCCCTCAAGCGTTCACGACAGGGGCTGATATCCTGGGATGGGGATTCTGATGATGAAGAAGAGAGAACTCGATCCGCCGTAGAAAGGTTACAAGCTGTTGAGAAAAACCTGGTTGGTGATGGCTCAAGAGTACATTCCCTTCCCACTGTGGAGACGAGAAACCACAGAGATTTGAAGACTGTTACTCCTTTAACGGTATGTATGACAATATTGCATTTATCTGGAAACAACAATCAGAATATACAAAAATATGGAACTTTCTTGTATGCACAGTTTAATAACTTCATGATAAATTAGGGTGAAAAACATTTTATGCATGTTTCTTATGGTTTGTCTTCTTGTATATTTTCAGGTTCAACAGCTTATGAAAGGCCACTTTCCAGAGATTAGCGAGTATCAGATCGTTGACTGCAGGTACCCCTACGAATTCGAGGGAGGACACATCCAAGGTGCAACCAACATATACACAGAGGAAGGCATTTCCGAGCTTGTTCAACGTCCTGCTAGCCAACCGACAGTTCTCATTTTCCACTGTGAATTCTCATCTGAAAGAGGTCCCAAAATGTAGGTTGTTTAGCAATTTCATATTGCTTATGTCTATGAGACATCGTACTTTTGCTAACTTAATGTATTATCTTAAACACTATAAATGTATTTACTATGGGGTAAATACGGTAACGAATGTGATTTGAAGAAGGCTGTGCACGTGAAAGCGGTGGCGTCACGTGCTTAAGGTGCAGAGGAGAGGGCAAGAAACACCACTCGAGGCCTTCGCGTCACACAGGCGAGCTGTTGTCTTCTTTGTTCGGAATGGATTCACCACAGCAGGAAAATTCTTGACTCCGTTGAAGAACTACACATTCCTGGTCAACCTAACAAAGCACAGGATTCTGTTGAAGGACTTGCAGACAGATCTACAGCCGGTTGGGCAGTAGTCTCGGAGTTGGAAGGGGATGAGTTGGCTTCAAACTCGGATGAAGAGAGACGTTTCGAGAGAGCAGAAAGTAAGGCACAGCGCAGAAAGCGCCCTACTTCTTTCAATTCCCGTGGTAGAGGTTATAGTCCTTATCCTTCTGCAACTTCCCCCAATCCTAACAGCGAATTACCCAAACAGGCCCCTCAGGTTCAGCAGAACCAGCCCTTTCGTTTTCAACCCAGGAAAACACCACTTCCAAACCAACAATGCTACTTTTGCGGAGCCTTTGGGCACTGGAGAGCCACATGTCCCCTTGCAGCCGCCCAGAGGTCATCACAGTCAAGTAATTTCAACCCACCACAAGGACTTCAGCCTACAGAGGCCTGCAAAAAGCAGTGATTATTCAGGTAAATCAAAACCACTTTTGAGATATGACATATATATTTGAGTGGCTAATGCGTTACTATCTTGATTGAGATCGTATTACATATGTTTCAGGGGATCAGAACTCAAGCAGAAGTATTAAAAGAAAAACTAACATGGATTTGCCACAGGTCTCCCGTTCAATATCAGAACAGCCTAGTAGTAGGTCACAGCTTGATGTTTCACCCATAGACAAAGTCAAACCTGAAACCAGAGGTATTAGTACTGATTTTGTACCTGTACCTAGTTATCTTGACAGAACAGATACGTCAGCGAGTAAGCATAACATTAAGGGAAATCTTAAGAGGCACATCTCATTTTGGAAGGATATAGAAGCTCCAGAATTCATCATTAGAACTATTATGGAAGGTTACATCATCCCCTTTGTGGAGTCGCCTCCCTTGTCTATTAGTAAGAACAACGCTTCTGCTGTAAAACATAGCGACTTTGTCTCTGAGGCTATCCAGGATCTCCTGTTAAACAACTGTATTGTTGAAGTCGTAGACTTACCTCAGGTTGTAAATCCCCTATCAGTTTCTATTAATAGCTCTGGTAAGAAAAGGTTGATTTTAGACCTAAGAGTGGTAAACAAATATGTTTGGAAAGAAAAGATAGTCTTTGAGGATTACAAGATTGCTTTGGATTTCGTTAGACCTTGTGGATACATGTACAAGTTTGATCTTAAGTCTGGGTATCACCACATAGATATTCACCCTAGTCAACACACGTTTTTGGGCTTTTCTTGGTCAGTTAAAGGTGTACAGCGTTTTTATTGTTTCACAGTTTTACCTTTTGGTCTAACCTCGGCCCCTTATATATTTACTAAGTGTTTTAGGCCATTAGTTAGATACTGGAGAAAACATTCTGTAGATGTTGTAGTTTACTTAGATGATGGATTTGGGTTTGCTTCGTCTGAAGCCTTAGGCAAGGAGCGATCTGGTTTTGTTAAATCTTCTTTGTGCAGAGCAGGCTTTGTTTGTAACGATCAGAAGTCAGTTTGGGAACCCACAAGACACCTTGAATGGCTCGGGCTGAATTGGAATCTTGACATAGGTGTGATATCTATTCCTTCTAGGAGATTAGATAATGTGAGAAACACATGCGCAGGAGTTTTGGCAGGTTTACCGCAATTCACAGCACGTAACCTGGCTAGTTTAACAGGACAAATTATCTCTCTTTCACCAGTTTATGGGGATGTCTGCAGACTTTTGACTAGACGCATGTATTCAGTAATACAAAGAGCTTCAAGTTGGGATAGAAAGCAAAGTCTAGTTGACCCCCTGTGTGTATTTGAACTTATATTCTGGAGAGATAATGTTTACACTTTTAATAGCAGAAGATTTTATGAAACTTTTGCTCCTGTTTTGACCGTTTTCTCAGATGCTAGTTCCAAGGGCTGTGCTGCTTATATACAGAATTCTGACCGGATATTTCAGTGTTTATGGGATGAGGATCAAGTGGGCAAGAGTTCAACTTGGCGGGAATTGAAGGCTGTTGAATTATCTTTGAACGTTTTCAGAGAGGTTCTGTCTAATCAGACTGTTAAGTGGTTCTCAGATAGCAAGGCTTGCTGTCAAATTGTTTCTTGTGGTAGTTTCAATTCATCCTTACAGGAGCTTGCTATGTCCGTGTTCACCGTGGTTAGGATGTATAACATCAGGATAAAGTTTAGCTGGATTCCACGTTCAGAGAACGACAGAGCAGATGCGTTAAGTAAATTTAAAGATGCTGATGACTGGATTGTTACTGATGCTGTCTTCAAGTTGCTAAACCAGAAGTGGGGTCCACATACTGTTGATAGATTTGCTAGTCATTATAATGCTAAGTTGTGTAGATTCAATTCCAGATCTTGGTGCCCTGGCACAGAAGCAGTAGATTCTTTTACACAGTCATGGCAATATGATAACAACTGGGTTGTCCCCCCTGTGCATTTGGTAACAAAGGCTATTAGATATGCTCTTCAAAGTGAAGCTAGCATAACTTTAGTAGTGCCTAGGTGGCAATCAGCTGTGTTCTGGACTTCACTTTTTGATGACGGAAAGTTCAAACATTATATCGCTGATAGTTTGCAATTAAATGGAAGTATTGCATTTTCAGGCGGCAGCAAGAAATCCTTGTTTGACAAATTCGATGGCTACGCATTAGCAGTTAGAATTATTCCATGAGATCAATGTTGTTGTTTCAGACATGTTCTCCTCCGGTATCTGGAAGCTGAAGAACAATTTAGTTCATACAGACCTTATTGATCTAGCAGGACATATGCCAGATTTAGTTCTCAAGTCTAAGGCCCCAGCGACAGTCTATAAGTATGAAAGATCTTATAATAGTTGGAAAAAATGGAGTTCAAAATTTAAGGAGATTACATGTTTGCCTGCTCATCCATTTCATGTTGCTTTGTATCTTACATCACTTGTTCAGGGAGGTAAGAAAGCTCCATCTGTCATGGAAGCTATTTACGGTATTAGTTGGGCGCACAAGCTTGCATGTCTGCCAGATCCTTGTAAACATGATTTGATTTTGAACATCAGAGAAGCGGCATTAAGAACGTGTAGTACTCCAGTCAAGAAAAAAGAACCTGTTACTTGTGACACGTTAAAGAAATTGGTTAGTATATCTGGGAAAACTCCCTCTCTACTTGATTTAAGGTTTTTAACAATGTCACTTTTATCTTTTGCTGGGTTTTTCAGATTTTCTGAAGTAGTGAATATCAGACGGTCAAACATTAAATTCAAGGATGGCTTCATGAGTATTTTTGTTGAGAACAGTAAAACTGACGTTTATAGGGATGGGCGTCATGTTTTGATCGCTGCTACAGGCTCAGATCTATGTCCAGTAAATATGCTAAACAGGTACCTGATTGCTGGAAATGTTGCTGAAACTTCCAATGAATATATTTTTCGTCAACTTTCCTTCTGTAAATCTGTACAAAAGTATGTACTTAAAGGTCAGAAACCTTTATCATATACCAGAGCGAGGGAAATCTTTATTGAGAAATTCAAACTAATTGGTGAAGATGTCAAAAAAGTGGGTCTTCACAGTTTTCGGTCAGGAGGGGCGACTGCTGCAGCTAACGCCGGAGTAACAGACAGACTGTTCAAGAGACACGGACGCTGGGCGTCAGATAAGGCCAAAGACGGTTATATCAAAGACAATGTTTCTGAACTGTTGAGTGTGTCATCAATGTTGGGATTGTAAATAAGTCGAAATAAATCTGCTGCATGGACCCGTTCTTTTAATTCGAGCAGCGGTAGGCATTACCCATGAGTGGAGTATGTTGTCATAGTAAATGTTTTATGTTCGGTTGAACATAGTGAATTAGAACATAAATGTATTTACTATGGGGTAAATACGGTAACGAATGTGATTTGAAGAAGGCTGTGCACGTGAAAGCGGTGGCGTCACGTGCTTAAGGTGCAGAGGAGAGGGCAAGAAACACCACTCGAGGCCTTCGCGTCACACAGGCGAGCTGTTGTCTTCTTTGTTTGTTAAAAATATACACATAAAGGTAATCAGATTTTTAGTGTAATGCTTGTCTGTGTTGGACGGCCTGTTATTGCAGTGTTGCCGAATGGCAGGTAAAACCGTATGGGAAAAATTGCCGCAGGGCATTGAGTGCTGTTTAGCACGAAGAAGGGTGTTGCTTTCTTTCAGTGAGTGATCCCACAGAGAGGTGATTCAGGAGTCCGGACATGGATTTGTATACACAAGAAGACCCACCGTCCAGATAAGTTATCTTTATATTTTCAAAAAGTTAATTTCGCAGTAATTTATAAAGCGTTCAAGCGCGATATTACAAGGATATTGCAGTATTTCGTAACGGTTTTATGTGCCAAAAATATTAAAATGTACGTTTTTGTTACAGAAAGAATACCTTAGAGAATATGGAGTGTCGGTGTTTGGAATGGAATATAACACGACAGTCGCGTGTCTACATGTATGATTTTGTAAATAAACCTTCTCGCCTGTTAACAGCGGTAGGCATTACCCATGAGTGGAGTATGTTGTCATAGTAAATGTTTTATGTTCGGTTGAACATAGTGAATTAGAACATAATTTGTAAGAAGTTGTGTATCATTATTTTAATATTTGTGTATGTATTCTTGGATGTATGATGTTGTCCCTTTGCGTTATAAATTGTATTTTATATCTTTATTATCTTTATACAGGATGCGCCATTTGAGAAGCGAAGACAGGAAAGCCAACAGTCACCGTTACCCAGAGTTGCATTATCCCGAGGTCTACCTCCTACATTCAGGATACAAGACCTTCTTTGGTGAGCACAAGGTAGGTTGGCTGCACATTCATATGGACAACCTTAATAGCCCACTCTGGCATATACTTTGTATCTTGTACGGAGACTGCACGTGACTGAATTCGCTAAAGGTAGATTTTAATGTCTCTTGTTTGTTTCTTTGCAGGATATGTGTGAACCCCAGACCTACGTTCCCATGCTGCACGCTGACCACGTTGACGATTTGAAGAAGTTTCGGGAACGATCCAAGTCAGGGACCGCAGGCCAGAAAAAGATGGGAAGAAGTAGGCAAAGGATGAGTGCTCGGAGCATGTCTTCTCCCTCTTTCGGTCAGCCGTGTCTACCAGAGTCTCATCTAATGGCCTGTTTGAAGTTTTAAACCTAGTTGGTGTGCTATTTGGCCTTTGTTATATTCTTCCACGATTGAGGCAATTAATATGTTTTGTTGTTGATTGTTACTGTTGTAATATTGTTACAATGTTAGCATGTTACTATGTCCACGATGGTTCATGCATTGTTTTTTTGTAAAGAAATTGCAAATGGACATTATTATCCTGATGCGCATGCAATCGTATATCATGTGTTTGAAGTGGTTGTTAACGATTGTTACTGTTGTAATATATTTTACAATAATGTTACTTTGTGTATGACGCCGATTTATGTCCTGTTTTCAATAAAACGAATTTCAACATTACATCGATTCTGTTATTACCCTGACGTATATGTGACAAGTCATTATTTTGAGAACTAGCTCCTGGCAGAGTTCAAGAGAGAACACATACCCACAGATGTTTGCTACCCAAGTAACATTACTTTCTATCCAAAACAGACGTATATATATTTTTAAGATATGTGATTTTTTTCACACACAAAGAGTTATCATTTAGAAAAGCGTTTGAATGCATATATGTACACATCTGATCTGAGTAACTCGGATACAGTTTGTTTATGTTATTGTATGTGAAGCCACTTACATCAATGCAGCTCCAAGTTACTTGGTATGGGGGCATTGCATTCAATTAACATCAAAGGGATTTCAATAAAGCTTATTTTGTATTTCAACGTCGTCATTAAATCTGACCTCCAGATCAGTGTATACAGTCACGCCTACAAACGCGTGTTGCTTTAAGCTGTAATTGAATCAACGTTGACTTGGTCTCTGTCACTCAACCAGTCACCTCACTGTGAAATGAGCTCACACTAATCCAATCAAGAGAACATCTCTGGCTTCATTAGGAAACAGCTTATAAGCAAGCGCGCTCGGGAGACTGACCATTATATCCAGCGTCTACCAGTTGCATTGCATTTTCTTCCTAGTCCTCCAATACAAGAAGAATGTCTTCCCCTAGTTTCTCTTTGAGTGTTACTTCCGAGGCTGACATCAGCTTCACCGACCTGAAGACCTTACTCTTTGACAGCCCATGTGCCTGGAGAAACAGCGACTCCGAATCAAGTGACAGTGGTTTTGGGTCACCCGACTCGTTATCAGAGGTGGGTATTCTTGGTCTTTAATATTTGAATGTAATACCTAGTACATATTTGAATGTAATACTCTAGTGAGTAACTGACACGATCAGGAGTTCATTTCGATACAGCATTCGTTTTATTCTTGATTGGTAAATTATGAGTTTGATGAATTTATTATTCTATTTCAGATTTCCACGGATGGTAGCCCCGTTTCTCTGTGCGGATCCCTTGCCAGACGTTCACTATTCTCTTCCAAAAGGCAGCGCGAGGATGTGGATGACCATGAAGATTCACCCCTCAAGCGTTCACGACAGGGGCTGATATCCTGGGATGGGGATTCTGATGATGAAGAAGAGAGAACTCGATCCGCCGTAGAAAGGTTACAAGCTGTTGAGAAAAACCTGGTTGGTGATGGTTCAAAAGTACATTCCCTTCCCACTGTGGAGACGAGAAACCACAGAGATTTGAAGACTGTTACTCCTTTAACGGTATGTATGACAATATTGCATTTATCTGGAAACAACAATCAGAATATACAAAAATATGGAACTTTCTTGTATGCACAGTTTAATAACTTCATGATAAATTAGGGTGAAAAACATTTTATGCATGTTTCTTATGGTTTGTCTTCTTGTATATTTTCAGGTTCAACAGCTTATGAAAGGCCACTTTCCAGAGATTAGCGAGTATCAGATCGTTGACTGCAGGTACCCCTACGAATTCGAGGGAGGACACATCCAAGGTGCAACCAACATATACACAGAGGAAGGCATTTCCGAGCTTGTTCAACGTCCTGCTAGCCAACCGACAGTTCTCATTTTCCACTGTGAATTCTCATCTGAAAGAGGTCCCAAAATGTAGGTTGTTTAGCAATTTCATATTGCTTATGTCTATGAGACATCGTACTTTTGCTAACTTAATGTATTATCTTAAACACTATAATTTGTAAGAAGTTGTGTATCATTATTTTAATATTTGTGTTTGTATTCTTGGATGTATGATGTTGTCCCTTTGCGTTATAAATTGTATTTTATATCTTTATTATCTTTATACAGGATGCGCCATTTGAGAAGCGAAGACAGGAAAGCCAACAGTCACCGTTACCCAGAGTTGCATTATCCCGAGGTCTACCTCCTACATTCAGGATACAAGACCTTCTTTGGTGAGCACAAGGTAGGTTGGCTGCATATCAGTTTATTCCACATTCATATGGACAACCTTAACAGCCCACTCTGGCATATACTTTGTATCTTGTACGGAGACTGCAAGTGACTGGATTCGCTAAAGGTAGATTTTAATGTCTCTTGTTTGTTTCTTTGCAGGATATGTGTGAACCCCAGACCTACGTTCCCATGCTGCACGCTGACCACGTTGACGATTTGAAGAAGTTTCGGGCACGATCCAAGTCAGGGACCGCAGGCCAGAAAAAGATGGGAAGAAGTAGGCAAAGGATGAGTGCTCGAAGCATGTCTTCTCCCTCTTTCGGTCAGCCGTGTCTACCAGAGTCTCATCTTATGGCCTGTTTGCAGTTTTAATCCTAGTTGGTGTGCTATTTGGCCTTTGTTATATTCTTCCACGATTGAGGCAATTAATATGTTTTGTTGTTGATTGTTACTGTTGTAATATTGTTACAATGTTAGCATGTTACTATGTCCACGATGGTTCATGCATTGTTTTTTTGTAAAGAAATTGCAAATGGACATTATTATCCTGATGCGCATGCAATTGTATATCATGTGTTTGAAGTGGTTGTTAACGATTGTTACTGTTGTAATATATTTTACTTTGTGTATGACGCCGATTTATGTCCTGTTTTCAATAAAACGAATTTCAACATTACATCGATTCTGTTATTACCCTGACGTATATGTGACAAGTCATTATTTTGAGAACTAGCTCCTGGCAGAGTTCAAGAGAGAACACATACCCACAGATGTTTGCTACCCAAGTAACATTACTTTCTATCCAAAACAGACGTATATATATTTTTAAGATATGTGATTTTTTTCACACACAAAGAGTTATCATTTAGAAAAGCGTTTGAATGCATATATGTATACATCTGATCTGAGTAACTCGGATACAGTTTGTTTATGTTATTGTATGTGAAGCCACTTACATCAATGCAGCTCCAAGTTACTTGGTATGGGGGCATTGCATTCAATTAACATCAAAGGGATTTCAATAAAGCTTATTTTGTATTTCAACGTCGTCATTAAATCTGACCTCCAGATCAGTGTATACAGTCACGCCTACAAACGCGTGTTGCTTTAAGCTGTAATTGAATCAACGTTGACTTGGTCTCTGTCACTCAACCAGTCACCTCACTGTGAAATGAGCTCACACTAATCCAATCAAGAGAACATCTCTGGCTTCATTAGGAAACAGCTTATAAGCAAGCGCCCTCGGGAGACTGACCATTATATCCAGCGTCTACCAGTTGCATTGCATTTTCTTCCTAGTCCTCCAATACAAGAAGAATGTATTCCCCTAGTTTCTCTTTGAGTGTTACTTCCGAGGCTGACATCAGCTTCACCGACCTGAAGACCTTACTCTTTGACAGCCCATGTGCCTGGAGAAACAGCGACTCCGAATCAGGTGACAGTGGTTTTGGGTCACCCGACTCGTTATCAGAGGTGGGTATTCTTGGTCTTTAATATTTGAATGTAATACCTAGTACATATTTGAATGTAATACTCTAGTGAGTAACTGACACGATCAGGAGTTCATTTCGATACAGCATTCGTTTTATTCTTGATTGGTAAATTATGAGTTTGATGAATTTATTATTCTATTTCAGATTTCCACGGATGGTAGCCCCGTTTCTCTGTGCGGATCCCTTGCCAGACGTTCACTATTCTCTTCCAAAAGGCAGCGCGAGGATGTGGATGACCATGAAGATTCACCCCTCAAGCGTTCACGACAGGGGCTGATATCCTGGGATGGGGATTCTGATGATGAAGAAGAGAGAACTCGATCCGCCGTAGAACGGTTACAAGCTGTTGAGAAAAACCTGGTTGGTGATGGCTCAAAAGTACATTCCCTTCCCACTGTGGAGACGAGAAACCACAGAGATTTGAAGACTGTTACTCCTTTAACGGTATGTATGACAATATTGCATTTATCTGGAAACAACAATCAGAATATACAAAAATATGGAACTTTCTTGTATGCACAGTTTAATAACTTCATGATAAATTAGGGTGAAAAACATTTTATGCATGTTTCTTATGGTTTGTCTTCTTGTATATTTTCAGGTTCAACAGCTTATGAAAGGCCACTTTCCAGAGATTAGCGAGTATCAGATCGTTGACTGCAGGTACC